CATCCTCCCGTTTTATTGCCACCCCTTGAGTAACTAGCATACAGACGCCAACAGGTGGCAGTAAATAGCAGTCGACGTGCAAACTAGCAATAATAATAGCACGTGACTTGCTTTTCTAGCCTAAACAATATTTTGAAGATTGCGAGATGCATTTCTTCCCATGAGAAAGTCCTAACCAAAACACCCCGAAAAAAAATTGGCAGGGCTCGACAGCCCCTACCCCCAGGCCTGGAAACAAAGCCAAGTCTTCAATGATGTCCTGAACATCGTGAATGTGTATATAAATGATATCTGACTTACAGGCTTATAAATCAAAGGTATAAGGCCCCCTGACTCACAATGACTGGGTTAAAAAATGATGCAGCAGAACAAGGACAAGCTGGCTAGAACTAGGGGACCAATGCACCCCGACCCACTGATGTGGCCTCACTCAGGGGACCCATACTCCACCCAACCCAGAGTCCCTGAGACCCGTTCAGAAGATTATGTCACGTGCAAAAGTACTTCTTGAACACACTTCAACACACCCCAGGCCAAAAAAGAAAAATAAAAGAGGACCACGGGTGAAGCCCAGCTGAAACGCTTTGGGGGTCTATTTCAGCCCTCAACTGCAATGCTTCAGCATCTGTTTTACATAGCTTTAGATTTTATGCAATTGTACTTTATTGATTGTTTTAATCAGTTGTAAGCCGCCCAGAGTCCCCCATTCGGGGGAGATGGGCGAGGACAAATTTAATAAATAAATAAATAGATATCTGGGGGGCGGTGGGGAGAGTGCCCTAACAGGCCCTTCTTTTCCATTTGGAGGCAAAACACCCCTATCTAAACGTTAAACCTAACCCCCAGTCAGCACAAAGGAAGACTTCCACCCAGCAGTCCATCTCGCTCCATGTCACTTCATTTGTCTATTTTTCAAGGGTGTTCCTTGGCCTCTATGTACTATTTATTTATTATTTACCCCCATGCCCATTATTTACTATTTTCAGAAAAAGGAGCCAGTCTCAAAGTCTTGTTCTTTAAGCCAGTGTTTCTCAACCTTGACCACTTTAAGGTGTGTGGACTTCAACTCCCAGAATTCCCCAGCCAGCATTTCTGGGCATCGGAGTTTTCTGGGCATCGGAGAGGGCGTTTGGCCTTCTCCTCCTCTGGGGCATCCGTTCTACTTCCCAGTAATTAATTCCTCCAGGCCTGGGATGGGCTGGTGCTCTCCCATCCAAATGCCAGCCAGGCCTGACCCTGCTTAGCTTCCTTGGTGTCCAGAAGCACAACCAGGTACTTTCCCTTTTTTGCAGTAAGTGAGAGCAGCCTTGCCTTGGCCAAAGAAAGTTCTGCAGTGCTGGTGGATGTCAAGGCACGCCCCTGAATAGCAGCTGCTGCTGGTGCCGCAGGGCATCCCGTTTTGCTTAAAGACGTTCGGTGGGCAATCGTCCGCGTTCCCCAAACAGTATTCGGTGAGGTCGCAGTCAGAGGTGGCCTCCCGGCATGCCGTTCCTTCCTTTAAAAACTGTGGGAAAGAGAGATGTGGGACTTGTACAGGCTCCAAGGTGGTTCTAGGACCCGTAGGAACTTCTGGGCCCTCCTTGGAGGGGGGGAAGCGGGGGAGGCTGCAACCCACGGCTTCGCCTGCAAGAAGAGCAGGAGAGGCAGGAGGACGGGCCCGCTGACGGGCTTCTTCTCCGGCCAATGGGTAGGACTGCCCACGCCCACCGTGCCAACCGTTTTGGGAGAGGGCCACTCAATGGCTAATATGCACACTGGCTCCAAAAGGTTGGGGGCTCACGGATCTGTGAGTCCTCTTTGTGTTTTCACCTCCGTCCAAAATCACAACAACGTCGGCACAGAAAAGCCACTTCCTCCCTCTCACGCACGTGGCTCAAAACTAGAACAAGCGAGCTGGCCACTGACTTCTCTTTAATGGTGTTTTGGAAGCTGATGCTCCGAGGGGTGCCTCAGGAAAAAGGGGGGCCACTTTCTCTGACAGCCTGCCTGCCTGCCTTCGGGCACTGAAAACTGCAAAAACCAGGTCTTGGTTTAAGGGTGGCTGGGGCTCCTTTTGGGAGGAAAGAAAAGGCAGAGCTGGGTCTGGTTATGCAGCAGCGGCGGGCAGATAGGCAGAGCATCTGGTAACCCTGGGCTGTGGGCTGTGCTGACCTCTGGGGCAACGGGAGTGGCGCCAGCCACTAGTGGAATGAAGTCAGTGCCTGCCCACCTCAGTTTTTCTTCCGTGAAAGGAGACCCATCCAACAGGAAGAATCCCTGTTGTGGGCACACGGAAGGAATCTCTCTGCTAGCAGGATCCCAAGTGTGGATGAGGGCACTGCCTGTACATACCTCCTACTTTGTGGGGGATAGGCAACAGTTTGTTGGCTTGCAAGAAAATCTCTAGTTTGGAGATCTTTGCTTGCATAGAACACTCCAAGTATCCTTGGGGTATAAGTGGGCTATGGTCATGTGGTTGCATCTTGGCTAAAATGTGCCCAAACTAACCCACAGCTGCCCTTACTGTTAGCAAGGAACAGTTTGTGACGGTTGTTAACTGCGAGTACAGGTCATAAAGCACTTTTTCTGAAGCAGATATAACTTCAGTCCGTCGTTAAATGAATGGTTGTTAAGCGAGGACTACCTGTACAAGGATAATGAGAACTCCTGATCATGGGGGCCAATCATTTCTCGGTCAAGACTTACGTGGAAGAAAGAGAAAACAATTAGAGTACGAACAGAAAAACTTCCAAAAAAGAAAAATAAAGCATAGGTCTTGTAGAGAACACAAGTGCAGTCTTGGCCTGCGTGAAGAAAAGCATAATGTCAAGAGATCCAGAGACCCCATCATTGTTCTCAGCTGGAGATGTTGAAACAGAGGCTGAATGGCCATCCAGATAAATGGGAAGCTGTCACACAAAAGCCACAACTTACTGCTTGTGTCAGACATCGTGATGCCAGGGCGTCATCGCCGTCCTGGCATGATGTCCTTGCTTGCCGTTTGCCTTTTCGAGGTCATCCTGGTTTGCACGGAAGCGACGGCGACGGAATCCAGCAAAGGATCAGAGTGGCCGTTGGTCCCCCGGGGAGATCCTCCCAGGGGCCGGGCAGCAAAAAACAGCCCCAAACCAGGGGAAGAACCTGGGAGCTGGCCGTGGCCTTACCTTGCAGCCTTGGCAACAGAGTCCCTGAAAGCAGCTGGCGCCGGGCTTCAGTTGGCAGTCATTCTGGCAACAGCCATTGATTCTGCATGCCTGCCGGGAAGACGGGAGGCCAATTAACCACTCTTGGGGCCTTGGACTGTGACCAGCCCCCTCTGCACGGACCCCACCCATCCCTCCCCGCTTCCAGAACGAGCCAAGAAGGCCAAAAAAAAAACCCAGAGAGGCCCGCTGGGTGACCGTACATCCCCTTCCTCCTTCTGTGCAGGGCCAAGGAAAGAACGCCCACCTTCTCCAACCTGGATCCCTCCAGAGATGCTGGGAGCCAGCTTCCAACGTCCCCGGTCGGCTCTTGGCTGTGCTGGAGGGGAATTTGGGGATTTGTGGACCAACAGCTCGGGAGGGTGCCAGGATCTCAGGCACTGTATGAACTTCGGGTGCCTTCAGGACCCAGAGCAGGAGTTGACTTCTAGTCTGATCTTTCACAGATCTCTCAGATGGGCCCAAAAGAGGCTGGATGGTCCTCTGTCAAAGATGCTCTAGCACAGCGTTTCTCAACCTTGGCGGCTTTAAGACGCGTGGACTTCAACTCCCAGAATTCCCCAGCCAGCCGG